TCAATACTATCATATATTTTAATCCAGTTCACTAATCTTACTTACAGTTTGCGCCACGGTTAAGAGAATGGGAACAATTTCTTGCAAAAAAGAATCACTAAGCAATAAAGAATTGGAATTCGAAAGTGTTTGTGCAGTATTTACAGCTATTTTCATGGATTATCTTGTATTTTGCAACTTCTCTGAGGTTTATTTCTTCAATCAATTTTACATTTCTTTTTGAATCATACGTACATTGATATTTCAAATTCCAAATTACTGTTATACATCTATGATTGTATAAGGCAAAAAGATAATCCAAAGAAGGCTGATTATTATTTGAGGAAGGATTAGTTTTAGTTTACTGTTAAATTTATTCCATTGATTTGATCTTAATCAATATAATTGCTATCATTGCATGTAGAAGGATTAGTTTCCGTTTATCTCTTGATCTATTCATTCTTAATCAATAAACCATACCAGAATACATCTTGTCCTTTATACATTATATGATTTTTTTTTGTATTTTAACAAGAAAAACTGAAATAACTCATAATATTTCAGTTATATTATAGTCAACAAGAAGAAAGTAAATGCTATAACAACTCATCTAATATGCAATTAATGAAACAAACAATTTCTTGTGATCAAATTTGTCATAAAATTTCATCTTTGGATATTGCTTCCTATATTACATCCACTGCTCTTTGTGTATTATTATTAGCTTGGCCATTACAGGTCAATAATTATTTTATCATTATCATTATCATTATCATTACCATTGTTGTTACACTTACTGTTATTCATTCATTCATCACTCATATTTTCATCCGGATTTTAATTACATTTGCAAATGTTTCTCATTTATTTCTCAATGAAATTTCAATACCAAATTCATCCAGTTTTATATTTTGTTAAATTTTTTTTTTACTTTAAAATAACATATTAATTTTTTATTTGCAGGAGACATCAGAGCGTGTAAGGATGCTTAAAATACGTTTAGCAAATGATCTTAGCAAATTGGACGAAAAATCACTGATAAAAATAATGATAATTCGACAACAAATTCAACAGATATCAAACGCATGTAAAATGAAATGATGAAATATTAAATCAGTTGGCATTTATTTAACTTTGATCGATTGTATCTTTTTTTTTTAAAAAAAAAACTTTACAAATGAATCGGAGTGAAGTATTTAATGTTTTGAATGAGATTAAATGAAAATTAAAAAAATTTCTTCGTATGGTTGAATTGATTCAGTCAACTAATAACTTTGAGTAAAGTAACTGTACTTCTAAAACTGATCAATTTAGCAATGATGAACGTTTAAAATATCATAAAAATTGTATCATCCAAACAAATTTTTTGAAATCAATACATATCAAAGCAAAAATAGGAACAGATCCAAATTTTATCGTTGATAATTTTGATCAAAATTTTGCTCATTACCTGCATCAAGATAAAATTCTTTAAATTAAAACATATTCTGAGAAATAATAATTACAAACATATAGCTAATTGATGGTAATAATAATGACATAATTAGAAGTTTGAAGATGAGGAAAAACAAAGATTTTCCTAAGTTTCTCGTGATTTTTCGAATTTTCAGTAATCATTTCTAACTTATATTGGAATTGAAAAAGTACATTATAATTAAAAGAAAGAGAGGTTATTACTAATTGTATGCAATTACCAGTAAAATAAAATCATTAAATCATCCGTTCATATCCTTTTAAATCCATTTTTAACTTCCTACTATAAGTGAAACAGATTATGAAATTGATTACAGTGTTAGGATATACTAGAGTATTAAAATACAAGCATAAGGTAATTTATTTCTTAAAACGGAATGAAGTATGTATCCTTTTGATTCGTATATGGAATTGTATAATCTAAAAAGAAAATAAATAAAAATTTTGGGATGAAATTGTGTTACAATTTTAATTTAAGATGAAAACTACAGTTTCACAACAAAATTGTTCACTTTGCATATAGCATTCAATACTCGCTGTTAAATGGTCACATGATCGCTTATGTCAATACGGATTGCGATAGGACGAGAGTTTTCATAGAGAGCAAGGATGGGACGCGTTTTGTACCGAGTATCTGCGGTTTGTTTGTTTTATAAGCTGTTGAAGAAGTTGTTAGTTGGTAGGTTAGTTGAGTTTGGGCTTTCGTGATGGCAGATATGACCAGATTAGTATGTAATTACGCTTCTAGTTTTATTGTACAGAGATCCTAGGTATGGGATTTTGGGCGCAAAAGACTTGATGTGTGGTTATGTAAGACGAAACTCAGAGGAATAAGTTGTATGAATGGAAGAAGGATACATGTGCTATAGTAGTTTCACGACTTCGGATTAATTAATGGTTCAGTCGACGGTTTACTTTGACTGGCATGAAAACACGTCCGGGGAGTTTTGAAAAATGAAGTAACGTCTAGGAAGGTAGTGCTAAATAAAGGAAGATAAAAGATCTTCATAACTAAACATTCGCTTTTGAGGTTATCAGTTTTTAGTAAAACTGAAAGCAAAATGACGGCTGAAATGCGAGATATGATTAATCAGCTCATGGGAACGAATCGAGCAGTAGAGGAGGGTCGACGTCTGGTACCCTATAATCATCATACTGTTTGCCGAGCTTTCCTTCTTGGCTGCTGTCCACATGAAATCCTGGCTGATACCCGTCTGGAGTCCCTCGTCGCTTGCAATAAGGTTTATTTCTAGCATGTTTTTTTTTTACGTGGATCCTAAGTTAACCATAAATATGTTATTCTGATGTCGATTGATTTAGCACTACTACAAAGTAACTTTTCTGAAAAACCAGCTTAAGTTTTAAGTAAATTTCATATAATGTGTTAATTCACATTAATGGTGAACTATGATTCAATTGCATAGCATATCTACTGCAAGTTTATTATTAAAGAGATAAGTAGATTGGCAAATAACAGAAGAAATAACAGGCAAGTCTTCAGACAAATAACACAACGAATACTTAGCACCACCTTTCCATCGTTTTAGGTTCACGAAAGCGCCCACAAAGCCGATTACGAGAACGCTCAGAAGCAACGAGATCATTTTTATGATATTGATGTATGTTGCAGTCATTTTTACACTTAAAATTGCAAGTGGCATATTTTCAGCCCAATTTTCTTTACTACATTTTCGGGCGACATCTTTAGTCCGTGTTAAATGAGTGATGCTGAAATTTCTGCGCAATAATGCTTCCCTTTTAAAAAGATATCTTCATGAGAATATTTCTGTTCGTGTTTTTTTTCATAACAATGATTTTGAGGTTGTTAGTACTAGGATGCTCTGAAGTTTTTAAATATAATAAATAGATGATGCTACAATAGGTGGTGCAGGCAGTTTTTGTTTTGTCGTACTTTTGGAAAGTGTCGGAAATGTGGTAACAGAGCGAATCCCATCAAAAGTAGTATTGGCCGTTAATCTATTATCGGAACGAGTTGTTTAGTTTTCTTACTTTAGGTATTGTTGTTGTTTTATGCATGTGAAAGGGAGAGTGCCCTTCGTGCAAATACCGAGAAACTCTTTCAATCATCGTTCGAAAAACATAATGGGAATTCGTATGTCCACTGTTGTTGAAATTTCTTTAGACCGTGAATGAAAAAGATTTGGAGAAAAAATGAGTGTTTTACTTCTTTCTGGCAGCATCTATGTCTCATTTTGAAGCGTCAGTTTAAATCTCGAATTTTCAATCGTTTAACGAAGAACTGTGGTTCTGTTCGTCATTATCGTGTAACAGTAGCAAAACAAAAAATAAGCATTGACGAATTGTGGGCGCAGCAATGTAGAACTTTTCGCTCGGTAATGAAATTTTGCAGCTGATTGGATTTGTCTGCAGCGCGCGCCTCCATACTGGTTCAGCTCATCTACTGATTGTCTGTTTTTGCCTTTTTTCTTTGTTCATTATGCTTTTACCTATTCGTTTTTTGTTGTTCACTCATGTTTGCATCTTGGAATTGTTCATTCCGTTTGTTGGAGGTTTATTATGCCTGATAATATTCTAATCGGTCATTAAAAAAATTGAAAATTTCAGGGTTTTGAAAGATTGGAAGAAGCAGTCCGCATCGTTGATAAAGAAATTGAAAGGACAAAGGAGAAATTAAAGAAAGATTGCGAAAATGAAATTGATCAAGCTGAAATTCTGAAGGTTCCCGTTTCAAATTTTCTAATGAGTTTCAAAAAAGTTTGCGGTTTTAATTTGTCAAGTTTTTATTATAGACGCAGATGATTGGAGAATTAGGTGAGAAAATTGGAACAACAATTGTGAAAATGGAGGCATTGGGAAATGAGGGTAAGGTAGAAGAAGCAATGGAATTGTCGAAAACCATTGAGGAATATAAAAGGAAGAAGCGCGATCTCGAGGTAAGGTTCGTTTATATTTTTTTCTATTTTTTACAGCTTACAGCGTGGAAAATTGGTATTCAGGTGGTAAATTCATGTATATACAGATCTGCATATTTTGTTACAAAATACCCAAATATATCGTCTTTGTTTCTTGGCAATATGAATGCTTCAGCGGTTAAATGATGTCGAGAAATGTCTTATCCTTTTAGAAGCTTTAAGCTGCTCAAGAAGGTACACCCAGTTGTTGGCTGGTTAAGACAGAGCTATTCTGAATGTATACATAACTTTCATTTTTTCATTATCTTTTCCAATACATCCAATACATTTCCGTTTTTGAGAATGACGTGCGAACGGTACTGAACACACCACAAGTAAGACTTCGTGTATGTGATATGTGTGGAGCACAGCTTAGTCTGATGGAACATGAAACTCGTTTGGCTGATCACTATGGTGGTAAAATGCACTGTGGTATGGAAACTATTCGTGAGCAGTACAACGAAATGAAGGTTATTTGTTTATTTATGAAATTCCACTTTAATTTTCAGCTGAGAGGGAAATGACTAGGTGCGTCGAAGTCAAACATAGGGGAGAAAATGTCAAGTGATGGGCTGCAAAAACTACCTATGGGATTTGTAAAAACCGATAAATGCTTTCTTTTATGTTTTATAATGACGATGGTAAAGATAAATGCGGAATTCAAATTCCAATATCATTAACAGATGTAATTGTTATTCTTCGCTTTACTTCTCTCGAAGACAACTTACCACAGTTTTGATGACTTTTAAATTTTTTTTTTTTTTTTTTTGTAGAAAACAGTTGAAGGGAGACGTGCTGAATGGAAGAAAGTTCGACTTGGCCTAGGAAGTCCACGAGATGACAGGAAGTAGGTTTTTTTCCCCTGAGTACTTCCGTTAAGTTCCATAAACTGATTATGCAAAGTATAAAAAAATGCAAATGTTCATGGGAAGAGTTTTGCGTTTTCCAGTGATCACGACAGGAGGGATCGTGATTATCGTGCTCGGGAACGTGATTATGATTCTCGCGACCGAGAAAGGAACAGAGAGAGGGATCGGGACCGTGATCGTAATGGAGATCGTTTGCGTGACAGGGACCGTGAACGAAGACGCAGGTTTAGTTCTTTTGTTTTTTAGTTAAGAATTCCTCGACTTCCACATTTCGTACTGATGGTTTTATAAGGTTTTAAGAGTACACTTAGTAACGACGTGCTGGTGGTACATCGTAGGGGATGAAGTATATGAACAAAAAGATGGAGGGAAATGAATCCACTGTCTTGGTAAGTTAAGTTTTTGGGAGAAATCCGAAATGTGGATGTTACATTTTCCCCGTTCAAATCAAATCTTACAGTCGTTCGCCACGACGTCGGTCTCGTTCTCCTCGCGCTACCCGTGATCGAGACCGGGATTCACGACGAAGCGACCGTGAAAGGTATTATTACAAGCCTTTAGTTCGCTCAGATTTTATTATTTGTATTGCTCATAAAAAAGCATTTTTTTTTTGCTTTGCAAACTTTTTGTTAAAAACGGTTTTCGTTGCGGATCAAATAATCGTCAGATAACGTTACTTGGCAAAAATTGAACTATTACTATAAAAAGTATAAAAAACTATAAATTCTTAAGCTATTCTTAAGAAATATACGTACCTTCACAAAGTTACGTAAGCTAGTGACAGAGTAGCTACTTGTATTTTGCTTACCCCGTTTTGATCGTACGAAACGCTGTAACGATTACGACGGCTACTTCGTATATGGATGTTGACGTTTCTAGTCTGAAGTTCAAATGCTTAAAATGTAAATCTCAATCAAAGTGTGATGTTTGTAAGACGGTAAAAGTAACGAATAATGTCCCGAAGAATACAAGAGTAATTAAATTTCAGACGCCGGAGCCGTGATCGCCGATAAAACATTGTATTAATTAACTGTTGAATCCAGTTCGTTAGTGTATCTATCGATTCTTGTTCCGATTCTGTATAACTTTTGTTTTGTGCGGGATTATTGATTTGCGTTGGCATTGTATGGAACTCTAAATTCATATGAACTCTATATTTTATTGTGATCAAGCTTGTGCACTAAACATAATATAAAATTCAACGACGTGCTGGTCTTGTTGCCGCAAACCATTTGTTTTTGTGTTGCAAACCAGCTTGTTCCGCCCCTGAAATTAAGGAAAATATTAATTTGCGTCATAAGATTTCCGAGAATTTTAAATTTGATTGATGACTGCAATAATGATGGGGAAGAAAATACGAAACAATTGCATATGTCAATGAGAATAAGGGACATGGTGTTCTAAATGCGTTCGGTTGTTGCCCATAGGGACGAAAGAAATCTAACAATAAAACCGGAGTACGATTTACTTGTGAGCCTTTGATTCTTCGTTCTCTTTTCGAGTAGTCGAGCCCGGAAGTTAAGTGATGGTTGTGGTGGTGGCAGCAACAGCGGGACAACTTTGAATGTTGAAGTTCTGGAAAATTTTCCGTCATATAAAGGTAAATATATGATTTTGTCTTAACGTAAATTTATTAACGGAATATCTCTCTGACCAAAGAAGCGCATTTAAACTCTGAACTGTAATGCATTCAACAGAATAATGATTAATGTTTTACTTTGTCTCTGACTTATATACGCTCTCATTGAGTTTGACCACTTTGTACTTCTTTCGCCGTCTTATCTTGTTTCTCACCTTTTTATCCTAAAAATATTTCTTTTTCATTTCAAAGAAAATTAAATACCAATGAAAGGCTGTACGAGCGTACTACGAGCGCATTGTTCAACACTCCCTTTTCCTGGTTTCCACACTCTTTTTCCTGATAAAATACTAAAAATTGCAAAGCACAAATATACCTTTAGATTTGAAGTATTCCCTGCAAAGGGTATTTCACGCTGTATCTTTGACGAAACCTCTATTGGACTGTCATCATTCTCTTCTTCGATTTCGATAAAATCCGGTAATCCTAAGAGATTAGTTTCAGAGAATAATAACTGGATAGAAAGGATGTATACATAAAGATATCAAACATTGCAATATATGTAGGATAAAATGCACGGACCAAACCTCTTTTCTTTGTAATTTCCATTAAGCTTTCTCCATTTCTTGTTTCCATTTCCTCTTACTTTTTTGAAGCTTTTCCGCCTTGGTTAACTCGTTTTCCAAAAGGATTAATTGCTCCTTCTTCTGAATTTCACTGATAGATTTTATGAAAAAACAATAGGCAGCTTGTAGTGACAGATCTGATAGCATCAATGTATACATGTAACACAATGATAACAATCGAAAGCTATAAGATTTGCACTATGCATAGCATAACAGTTGCTTCATCTAACTATGCGGTGGAGAATAGTGATGGTTGTTTTTTCAGCAGTCATGACCATCTAGTGGAACAACACCTGAACCTCTGCTTCTATATTCCATTCATATTTAATAATAATCATCCTTTTCATACTGCTTTAACTCTGAAATCTTGAAAAATCACCTGCTTAACAAATTCTTCCAGACGATCGATGTTTTCAAACAAGCTTTCAATTTGTCCAATTTGTTCGTTGATCGCTACAACACTGTCGTTAACGGCTTTTATATCTGTTCTCACCAATCCACCCAATGTTTGTAACTCTTCAGTAGCAATAACACACTCTTCAACACAACTTATCGTCTCCTTATCACAGCCAACCTTAAACGCCGATGTTCATTCATTTTGTATGTGAAGAATTTAGGGAATTTAACAAATGCATGGCTTGAAAAATATGGGAAATTAGAAACAAACCTTTAGTGAAACAGCAGAGAGGCAACTGGTAATATTATTTGACAAAGTAGCAAGTTCGTTCTCAACAGTTTCTTTCGGTGGTTCAGCACTGCCCGCTTCTAACATGCACAAACTAAACAAATCATGAGAAAGTCACGTGAAAAAGAAAAATATCCACTTCATATTTCACGCGCTCTAGAATCCTATATCCTCCTTTCCCTTAGGCCTATCAGCTTTCAAATTTCCATATGACAAAGGTATCAAAATGAGCGAAAAAAAAACTGCTTCAAGACGAACAAATGACAGGATCTTTATTTTATCCTGAAAATGAAGAAATGACCAAAAATAACATTTCTGATATGCAATAACTGAATGTGAAAGTGAAAAACGGTGAGCATAATTGTCTCTAAAACATAGAGCAAAATAATATGTTTAGAGCTTTAAATATTGTTGAAAACCATCAGTCAGAACTATAAACGCAAATAATGAAAAGTCGATCAAAAACATATTACCGAAAAGATAGATCTACATGGAGAAATGAATATACACATGAAAGAAGTGAAAGAATAGTAGGATATGAAGGGAAACCTTTCCAAACCCACTATTGACTTTTTGCCGGTTTAAAGAAGTGATACGGCGTTTAATCCAAGCAAACATACCAATAGAAAATGATAGAATCAAAGTAAGCATTAATTTTCAGATTTTCTAAGTTGAAATTTCTTTTCTTTCTTTGCTTTTCCTCCAACACAGACAAAATGAAAATTATATAATTGTGGAGTCATCATGATACGGTTATGCATCTTGGAAGATAAAAATAACAAGGCATACAAATTTTTAAGCTAGGTAAGATTTGAGAGGTCCGTAATCCGGTGACGAAATGTTTCCAACTCTTGGTTGCATCCGGTAATCTGATGTTCGTAAATCAGCTTTAACTGTATCACCATCACCCGAAAGTAGCAACTGGAAACTAAATATCAGCATATTCCATTGTAACATTTAACCACTTTAAATATCATGAAAAAAGCAATTATATTACTGGTTTGTAGAAACAACTATATTACTGTTTGATACTATATTACTGGTTTGTCTGTAACATAATTTATTTTCTTAGACTCCTTTACAACAGTAGAAAAAATGCTTAGAAATAATAAGGTCAACAATGACTACTATGTGTAATGGCTATTTGGTTTGAATGATAAAAACCCAGACTATAAATGAATGAGGTTCTACGCTCAACATGCTTCAGACCTTATTCACCCCATATTAGATTAACGTTCTCACATCGAAACCGCAAAATCTTTCCAGGACATCACCTACCGCTTAAGAGAAAAAAAACCCCACAGTATAAGTATTTCTAATGAGAAATTTACCTCTCTCAACTCCAGATATTTCAATCCACTGCTGATATGAGCATAGTTTGCTGCGCTGCACATCATAAAATGTTCCAGTCCTTTGATTATTATTAAACAAGAAATTAAACTAACCAAGTACCAAGCAAATGCACTCCATGAAAGAGCACAGAATTGCTGCACATCGCCGCCACAAAGTTTCAAAGACTAAAAAAGAATAACACTAAATACACTCACCAAAAATTCAACCCCAGACTCAAGAATAGATTTTTTTTAAACAATTTTTTCTTTTTAAAACTAGCGGAGAAAGTAATATGGACTAGCACTTTATCCTAAAGCGTAATTCGGTTTTTTACCACTCGATCTACTTTTTTCCGTTGTACTTTGCATTAGTTGATATTAAGACAAGTTTTGTGAAAATTTATTTAGCCAATTAGTACATTAATAATTCTGGAACATATGTTCCCCACGTTTTCCCTAATGCATTCCCGAGTAACCCGTTTAAAGGTATTTTTTTTCCCTAACTTACCAAAAAAGAAAAATAAAGCAAACTCACATCCGGGGAAATTTCATGAGCAAATGGTTGAAAGAGTGAAAAGTCAAGACAATCAGAATCATTGAACGATATGGATGAGCACAGAAAGGTAAATATGTAGTAGACGAAACAAAGAACAACCACAATTGCGAAACAAACAAACCAGCACATATTTAACAAATATGCTGTTACCAATGAAAATGCATTGGCCAATTTCCCTCCCATACGACCACGTATTCCCCTGAAAATAATTATCAAGACTGTTAATTAACATTCTCTAGCAACTGAATTCCGCATATCATGTAATCATATGTCACGCAATCATGGTTTTCTAATGATCATGCAATTAGAAATAACTCCACAATAATCACTCGAATGGAATTCAGAATGTGAGCTATTAGTATACCCCGCTAAATTGATTGCTCATTATAACGGGACATCAATAATATAGGGAGTCTGTTCATTTCGTCGCAGCTTGTTGATTAGCTCGAAGTAACGTTCGACCTACTTCTTGCGTGCAAAGACAATACTTTAACTGTTATCACTTCGAGACTATTATGAGATACTTGGCTCACATGAAATCTTCGGTAATATCGCAAAAATTGCATACTTGCAAAAATTACATAATTACTACTGAAAAGGGAAAATAAAGTACTCATAATCTTTCATTGTAATAAAAATTCCAATTCCCAAGTAACTAAAGCAAAAAGTAACATTCTGCTGTGTTTAATCTATGAAAAGGACATATTCCCGTGGCATTTATTGCTGCTACGCTTCCTTATCAAACTTCCATGTTTTTACGTCTATAAAATTGACTAATAAAATGGCCAATAAGTGTTCCAGCAGTATGTACAGATGTACAGATGCTCATCATTCGCAGCGTACGAAAATTAGTGAAAGCAGAAAATTTATAAAAGAAAAGAAAGGAAAATGAGTGAGATATATACCTATAAAGCTCTTTTCTTGTAGAACCCGTACTCATGGCAGCAATGACAAGTAGTATTAAAGCTGCTATTGCCATCAACGCCGCAACACATACAAATAATATCTGCATCTGTAAATGGGGAAAAGAATGAAATGCAAATATATGAAATTTGTAATGAATATTTCCACCATGACTAACAATGTACGTAAGACAATGCAACTCCATTTCTATCCATATTCTACGACCATACTTGGATTACTTTTTGACTTGGGACTAAAGGACAGGCTAGAAAAGATGATGCATATATCAGATTCAGACACTAACTTTTCAAAATGTAAATAATATAAGAAACTCGAAAATGCGAAAGAGAATCCATGAATTATTTTACATAAAGGATATATCTGAATTACTTAGAGAAGACATATTCTAAAAATGAACTTTTTTAATGTTGATACAAATCGTGATAGAATGTATTACTTTAGCAAGCCATGGTAAATTTTCCACGTTTAGTATTCGACGAGCTTGCTCTACGGATGCGTTGAATGCCCATGTCATAACAAGTGTAAAAATGATTACACCAATACCACACATAGATGTTGCAATGACAGAAGCATAAGGTACTCGAGAAAGAAATTCATCTCCAACATCATAATCTGTTTGCTTCCCATTATGGTGCCGAAATGTTGGGCGAAAGCCCATATTATCGGTCGATTAATGCAATAGTTACGGTGTATAAAAAAGTATCGCAACCTAAAATCGATAGCTATATTGTTTAATATACCAAGAAAAAAAAAAGGACCAAATAAATATCATCGTCCTTGCTTCATATAAAATACAAAAAAATATTTTACCTTTATAGAACCTGTTGACATTTTGCAAAGTCAGATCATATCCTAATAGAGGTGTTACAATAATTTTCAACCTAGTACCACACATTTTTGCTTACTATATAATCGACCAACTGAATTCCGCACTTACAAGCATACTTCAGATATTGAAATTGTCAAACAAGCTTTTTTGGAAATTTCACAATTTTTGCTAAAATTTTATCTTATTTTCCACTTTTATATTATCAATAGTATATTCACAAGTAACCTAAGTCCTAACAACGTTTACCATTACTTCACTCAACGATCTTTTCCTTTCATTCTCTACTTATCATCATATTTGTATCTTATGTCTCTTTTCAGTCTGCCATGCTTTCCTACCGGTATTCAACATGATCCATATCCATAGTTCTAGATATGAAACCTCGTTCATTATCTCCTGGAATCTCAGTAAAAACGATTTTTAGCAACTCCTTAATTTCCTCGTACAAACCAACAATAGACCAACCCAATGAGACTTATTTACCAGCATAGAGCTTGGAATTTACACGGCCCTTAAATGCCACATTTTTGGATGGTTCAAGTTGGAGTGAATATTGGATTCAAATGCTAATTAAGATTTTAAATTTCGCTATTGGTTTAAATTTCAGGCAATACAAATGTATTTCTACAAACCATACAACAAAGAACGATAAATAGACAATTCCTGAGATCAATCGACGAATCTATGTGTTGTTTGTGGAAGATAACTAATGATACCGTCATCAAACATCCACAAAAATTCAATTTCAACTTTTTTAAACATAAATATTAATGAATGTATAAGTCAGCTAATCGCAATAATTGTTATGAACTCCTTTAATTAAGGAGAGCATCACTTCAATTACATTACATTAAACAATTATAATGAATGAGCAATGAATTATTTGGGTTACTTCATTTATTTTCCATTTTATTCTTTCCTTCCTTTATCTCTATCTTTCATGTTAGAAAACTTTGGGATTAATTAGTTATCAATATTTGGTAATAGTTATAATTGCTATCACATTATAAGTTTGTTGATTCAATTTTGAATACAATTTTCAGTCATTATTTGAATCATAAATGGAAAGACCAAATATTAGAAAATATTATCATAATAGAAATACTTAATTCATTACTAACGAAACATTATTAACGAATACTTAATTCATTACTACCAATTAACACTTCCTAATAATTAAACAATTAGATGAACAAATTAGTAATTCTGTCACAATCGTTGATTCTTTTCAATTTTACACAAACATTGATATTATGTTGTTTACAGCATTCAGTTTCTTTTCCTTTTTTTTTTTGCTTAAGAGAAATAAATAAATATTTTCGTTCTTATGAAGTCTGAGCCTTTCAAAATTGTTCTAGTTATTTTTCTTGTGTCATATGTTCATATATTAATAAGTCATATGCTCATATATTGATTGGACTAAATTAAAAATTGATTAATGATATTTATCCATCAAATTGGTTTGATAATTAAAAAATGCTACTTTATTAATCATATGCAACCGTTTACTTTCATTTCAAATTAATTAATTGCCTACTTAATTAGCAACTGAATCATAGTTTACACAGTGATTATTTTCTAAAAAAAATTTTGGCATGAATTTTAACATTAAATTTTAACATGAAATTTTATTAGGATAGATAAATTGGAATATTTGATGACTTTTATGCAATTTTTTGCGTCTTAAATTTTTTTTTTATGAAAACAATTTTATGGAACTTAAAATTTTTTGTTAAAAAACTTTAAAATTTAAACTCGAAAATGTTAGAAGATAAAATAAAAATAAGACGACATTTTAAATAATTGTTCAATGGTGATATTATTGGCAAGGTAAGAGAAGGTGATATCTTCACCTGGATGAGTTTGATAACATGGCATATATATTTGTTTGCATGATAATTCAAATTTGGTTCGGTATTTTCCTCTGATTTCAGTTCATCATTTCGAAAGCAAAAATAATTGATTAATTTGAAAGGTTTACTATACCCATTTTCACCATATACATATATAACGTAATAAAGTCATATATAATATGCAAATAATTGATTAATTTAAAAGGTTTACTATACCTATTTTCACCATATACATATATAACATAATAAACTCATATATAATATGCATGCATTTAAAAAAGTGATAAGGTAAGTAAACGTGACAAACAGGTAAAGTAAGTGATATTAATTTTCATAAATGCAAAATTTCATTTTCTTATCACATTTCAAAACTTTAATACATTCGGACCACTTTTTTTTTTTGTACTTTTTTAAGGAGTACAATTATCATTTCTAATTTTGTTTACTTTAGTTTTTTTTTTCATTTTTGGCTTCTTTTCCTTTAATTTCGTCTGTTATTCATGAAAATTTATTTTCTTAATACTGATAGTAAATTATGGAAATTGTAAGAAGAAACACTGGAAGTGACAGTGAAATAATATTATTTTAATATTGAGTTTTCCAATTAATCGAATGTTTTTTCTTTTTCTTGTTTAATTTTTTTTGTTAATATTTTACTTTAAAGCATTTGTAAAAGTATTCTAATGATTAGATGTCAATAGAATGAGCTTCTTGCTAAGATAAAAAGTAAATAAAACATATTTATAGATATCATTTTACTTTTTTCTCTTCTTCTGAAAGTTTTTTTTTCTTATCTTCTTTCAACTTACTTTTGTTAATTGCATTCATTCTTT